ACCAAATTTGTCTTCTCTATAAACCCGGAAAATTGGGCAATTCATAAGTAGATGTTTCGAGTCCTGAATTTCACCTCCGCAGTAGCATCCTGGTTCCTTCACCGCGCCGATAGTTGCCAAAAAATTTCCCAAAATTACCATGATCTGTAATGAATTGGATATTATAAAAATTTGACGAAAAAATCTTGGGATTCCAGACACGAAAAAGCTTCTGAAAATTTCATTAGTATTGTCAAAATTTTCCTTCATTTTTGCGTGTAAGAATGATTTGACTATACCTGGAGCATGGGGTTCATAAGTAATTATATCTTCAGTGGACAGATGAGTTAGATCATATTTGATTATTCTAGATTCTATATAGTCTATTAGGAGTGGAATTTTTGCCAAACTATGCACACAGTTAGATGATGTGGTTTTATAAGCTCTAACTGCCCATAAAATGATCTGGTACTGCATGGAATTCAGTTTTTGTGTTATAATTCAGTTATAATATGATTATAAATAGTTGTATTTAGTAATATATCTATAGTATGAATTAACATTTGTTATAAGTTTGGTTATTATGTTTTGAAACCCTAATGGTAGACCAGACATACACAAAAAAATTTAAATTGAAATAAATTGGAAAAAGAGATCTGCTGGACCGGGGATCTTCAGATAAAAGCCCAGCTGACATTTCACCCCTTCTTTATTATGTCATAGACCTCTTTTAAACCATATTCCGGTAACAAAGACTAACGTAGGTTGTATCTTAGTCCTTCCAGATTGGTTTCACAACCAAGACCATCCTACGGGACATGTCCTTGGAGTGCTACTCCGGACAGATCACCGCTCTGCTCGGCCACAACGGGGCGGGCAAGACAACAGCCATCAATATCATCACTGGTAACCTAACTACTTCTGGAAAATACCATTTTGCATATTGGCTTTATATTTATGTGGAAAATTATTCAGTTTAAAATTTTTCATTCTTTGTTTCAACGTATCGGCAAGCCGCTGCTACCCTTTACAAGGAAAACATTTTTAATAAGGCTTACTTTGTGGTTAAGTTGTGGATGTTTTAAATATCACCGACGTTTCCGTAGGTTGCTGTTGTCCTTTTTAAGGAACGTTTTTTGAATAAGGCTTACTTGAGGCTAAGTTATAGTTGTTTTAAATATCAAATGAAAGAACCTATAGGACATATAACAATTGTCTTGGTGTAGAACTAACACCTATCAACATATTCTCTTGTCCAGAAATGGCCGCAGAAAATTGACATGGACCCAGAACAGCAGCTTTACACACCCAAGATAGAGAACATTGCTGTGATAGAGATGTATGGAGACATCTGAGGCATTTCATTGGACACGACAACAACAACTGAAAATTGACATGGACCCAGAGCAGCAGCTTTACACACCCAAGATAGAGGACATTGCTGTGATAGAGATGTATGGAGACATCTGAGGCTCTTCTTTGGACACGACAACAACAACAGAAAATTGACATGGACCCAGAGCAGCAGCTTTACACACCCAAGATAGAGGCCATTGCTGTGATAGAGATGTACGGATACATCTGAGGCTCTTCATTGGACACGACAACAATAACAGAAAATTGGCATAGACCCAGAGCAGCAGCTTTACACACCCAAGATAGAGGCCATTGCTGTGATAGAGATGTACGGATACATCTGAGGCTCTTCATTGGACACAACAACAACAGAAAATTGACATGGACCCAGAGCAGCAGCTTTACACACCCAAGATAGAGAACGACTGCTGTGATAGAGATGTACGGAGACATCTGAGGCTCTTCATTGGACACGACAACAACAACAGAAAATTGACATGGACCCAGAGCAGCAGCTTTACACACCCAAGATAGAAGACATTGCTGTGATAGAGATGTATGGAGACATCTGAGGCTCTTCATTTGACACGACAACAACAACAGAAAATTGACATGGACCCAGAGCAGCAGCTTTACACACCCAAGATAGAGGACATTGCTGTGATAGAGATGTATGGAGATATCTGAGGCTCTTCATTGGACACGACAACAATAACAGAAAATTGGCATAGACCCAGAGCAGCAGCTTTACACACCCAAGATAGAGGCCATTGCTGTGATAGAGATGTACGGATACATCTGAGGCTCTTCATTGGACACAACAACAACAGAAAATTGACATGGACCCAGAGCAGCAGCTTTACACACCCAAGATAGAGAACGACTGCTGTGATAGAGATGTACGGATACATCTGAGGCTCTTCATTGGACACGACAACAATAACAGAAAATTGGCATAGACCCAGAGCAGCAGCTTTACACACCCAAGATAGAGGCCATTGCTGTGATAGAGATGTACGGATACATCTGAGGCTCTTCATTGGACACAACAACAACAGAAAATTGACATGGACCCAGAGCAGCAGCTTTACACACCCAAGATAGAGAACGACTGCTGTGATAGAGATGTACGGAGACATCTAAGGCTCTTCATTGGACACGACAACAACAACAGAAAATTGACATGGACCCAGAACAACAGCTTTACACACCCAAGATAGAGAACATTGCTGCGATAGAGATGTACGGAGACATCTAAGGCTCTTCATTGGACACGACAACAACAACAGAAAATTGACATGGACCCAGAACAGCAGCTTTACACACCCAAGATAGAGAACGACTGCTGTGATAGAGATGTATGGAGACATCTGAGGCTCTTCATTAGACACGACAACAACAACAGAAAATTGACATGGACCCAGAACAGCAGCTTTACACACCCAAGATAGAGAACGATTGCTGTGTTAGAGATGTATGGAGACATCTGAGGCTCTTCATTAGACACGACAACAACAACAGAAAATTGACATGGACCCAGAACAGCAGCTTTACACACCCAAGATAGAGAACGATTGCTGTGATAGAGATGTACGGATACATCTGAGGCTCTTCATTGGACACGACAACAACAACAGAAAATTGACATGGACCCAGAACAGAAGCTTTACACACCCAAGATAGAGAACATTGCTGCGATAGAGATGTATGGAGACATCTGAGGCTCTTCATTGGACACAACAACAACAACAGAAAGTTGACATGGACCCAGAACAGCAGCTTTACACATCCAAGATAGAGAACGATTGCTTTGATAGAGATGTTTGGATACATCTGAGACTCTTCATTGAACACGACAACAACAACAACATAAAGTTGACATGGACCTAGCTGAGACGTGTGTACAGGGGTGCACCGACCCACCAGCGGCCTTTGTCAGATCAACGGCTACGACGTGGTGGAAAACACGGCTGAAGCACGACGCACCCTGGGCTACTGTCCTCAACAAGACATCCTCTTCCCTTACCTCACTGTCGAGCAGCATCTTTATTTCTTCGCCAAGGTACACTCGTCCTTCCATCTTTCTTCCTTTGTTTTACAGTTCTACATTATATAAGAAACACAACCATTATAAATCATAAATGTTTCTTTTACAGATATAGCAAACTTCTACTGTCCTTTACTGCGATGAAAAAATATTGGAAGGGCTTGGCTTATTAGTGGTGAACCCTTCCAGCGGTTTTGCCAATTTAATCTACCAGACCGCTATTTAGAGTTCTAATACTGTTTATTGACGATTCTGATTATATATACTACACTGGACGGTAAAATCTTAGAAATGGTATTTAAGCAATCTATGGACATTGGAATTGTCCAATACAGTATTAGAACTCTAAAAAGCGGTCTGGTAGATTAAATATGCGAAACCGCTGGAAGAGTTCACCATTGGTAAGCCTAGCCCTTTCAATATTTTTCAACGCAGTAAAGACAGTAGAAGTTTGCTTTATGTGTGAAAGTAACATTCGTGCTTCAAAGCTTTTATTTCTTTTATACATTAGAACCTCCCTGTAAAGGGCAACACCTAATTGCAGAACCAAAGTGTCCTTTAGAGAGAGGTTTCCTCTTACTGGAGATTTTCTAAATAGCATAAAAGTTAATTTTGGTAATGAAATATAAGAAAGACTTTGCTGTAGTTAAATGATAAGTTTCTATTATAGGGTAAAAATTAATAGTGAAGTTATTTTCATATTTTATAAGGAATTGAACTTTATATTCAGATATATTTAAAAGAAAAATAGAATATGCGGAATTTATGCTACTATAATTATTTTATAATACAATATAATGCGGCTTATAATTGTAGAACGACATTTGAAAATTACCCCGCATGTGTTTCTTTTTAACTGCCCGGTAAGCGGAACACTGTGGGTTCGATTCCCATCCCTGGACATTTTATTTTTCCGTTTATCACTACTCTTCACAATTCATCCATTTATACCTCATCCCTAAGGTTAGACATAATCGTTATTTCTCCTCAAAATAAAATTCAATTTTTCGTTCAAAAGAAACACATGCGGAATAATTTTCAAATGTCGTTCTACAATTATTTCACATTTTTTGCACACATACACATTATAAACAAAGTTTTAAATAATTTACATACCTTCGATTATCTCAAATCAAACAGAGTAATAATATATCACGGATATACAAAACAAACAGATCATTAAAGAGAACCATAAGATAATTCCGCCCCGTAGAAAGACTGCGTGCTGTGGCAGCTGAAGGAAGTCCCCCAGGATCAGATGGAGAACGAGATCACGGCCGTACTGAGGAAGGTCAGGATGATAGACAAGAGAAACCATCTCAAAGACCAACTGTCTGGGGGTATGAGACGCAAGCTATCGCTGGGGATTGCTCTGATTGGAGGATCGAAGGTAAGTACATCTTCTTGAATTCTCTAAGAACTTGAAGTGAAAATAACACCATAGCTATTCCATGATAACAGAATGTAGATAGAAATTTGACAATTTTACTGCAAATGTTTCTTTTGAACGAAAAATCGAAATTTATTTTAAGGAGGAAATAACGATTATTTCTATCCTTAGGGATAAAGTATGAATAGATGAATTGTGAAGAGTAATGATGATAAACGGAAAATAAAGTGTCCAAGGATGGGAATCGAACCCACAGTATTTCGCTTACAGGACAGATGTCATGTCCACTAGGCTACTCTGGTCATAATTTTTCCGGTCGTAAATCTATATTAATAAAATGGAAATTTCATAAGTGGACATCACTAAAAACTTTCGTTACAATGCATCAATTTCAACCAAATTTTCAACATTTATGTAAAACGAGATGGAGCAGGTTTTGCTTAACATCAAAATATATTTCCTAACATTAACATGCGTAACTTCGCTGTTATCGATTAAATACAAAAAAAATCAACAGAGTTAATTTTATTTATATATATAAATACAAAATTAAATTTCAACAGAGTTAATTTTTTTACATACTAGCTAATAATCTCAATCTAAAAAATATTCAAAACAAGCAATTTTAAGATAACACCATATGTAAAACAGTCGGCCAAGAAAACAACAAGGATATTACATCTTTCTCACATATTCACACACAATCTTGATTAATAATAATAACTAATCTTTAACATTGTTTATTATACTTCAACTTTTATTTCTACATTTGTTTTTAAATACCCAATTGTTTTATCATGTTTCTAATTTCGCCTAACAAATATACAAATTTATAGTGACCAACATATGCAAATTTTATCTTTGTTTTCATTTAACTTGATATCGTAAACATAACATCCATTGTAAGCATTTTTCTGTTCACCTTCCGTGGTTTCTCTTTTCTCTGATAGTTTTTAGGTGTAGTATATTTTCTTATTACTAGACTACAAACATTCCCTCGAGAAAAACCTGGGCGAAGCCGGGTACATCCGCTAGTATTATATAAAGTAATTTATAATACAATATAATGCGACTTATAATTGTAGATCAAAATTTGACAATAAAGTTGGAAACATCAGTTCCTACTACCCGTAAGTTTTACCCGATTTGTACTCGCCTAGGGCACTGTTCTGTTTTATGAATATTCTTTACAAGAATATTCTCTTCTTCAGTAAAAAAAAAACACACACAATGATAATCATGTCGATAAATATCTGCTATCATGTTAAACTTTATAAAAAGATATATAGATGGAAATTTTGCCGGGAGGAAATTGATCTAAAGAGAAAAGGGTCGCCTCTCCCGTCAAAATAGACGTCTAAAACCAGACGCCATCTATTGACCGTCGCCGCAACTAGCGGCATCGGGTCGGTGACAAAGCCACAACACCAGCTTTGGTCTCTAGGTGGACGTTTTTCAGTTTGCCAAAGCTGGTGTTGTGGCTTTGTCACCGACCCAAGGCCTCTTGTTTGCGGCGACGGTCAATAGATGGCTTCTGGTTTTAGACGTATATTTTGACGGGAGAGGCGACCCTTGTCTCTTTAAAAAGATATATATATATTAAAAAGATAAAATTGGAATTTCCTGACCGCTCCCATGAGCATTTTAAATGGCAGAGCGACAGGAAATCCTGATTTTGTTTTTAAAATAAACAACTGACCATTTATAAATTGTAACGAAGTATTTATAATTTTACACTAGTATTAACAGAGTATCATTTTTTTATATTTTTACTACTCTGTAAACTTCCCTCATTCCTTATCTTTTGTATATACTTCATAGTTTGTTCTTTCCTTAAATAAATTGATGTGTCATCCCGAAATTTGTCTTCCCTTATTTTCCACGTGGCAATATTTTTTCTTATTTTTTCACACACACACACACACATATATATGCAACATAAGTTGCGGGGGGGATGACATTCATGTACCCAAAAGAGGCATCTCTCTTCTCTTTTATTATAACCCCTCTTGTAGGAATTTATGAAATCGAAGCTGCCCCTGTACTGATGAGGGTCAAAATCCGAAACCATGTTATACAGGTTGTTGGATTTTGTCTGAATTTGTCAAAACTGGTATTGTGGCTCTTTCTTTATCATTACTAAGTAAAGTTTTCACTAGGGTGATGTACAGTGCTATCATTCTGATGTACAATTAAAGGGAGAGGTTGTTCCTTTGGTACATATATATGTTTATTTGCTATGCAATCATGGTTGTGACAGGTGGTAGAACAGGACGCACACAGGAAGTAGGATCCAGGAGCAAAACCCGTGAAGAGTATGTCGGAGAGGAAAGAGAAGGTCTACCCTGGGAACAACTCAGAGAGAACTGCCCTGATCATCAAATCCAGGGAATTTTATACTAATATGAGTAGGACTGGAACATTGACCATTGAGGGGAGGACGGGGAAGTGACTCCCATATCCCCCAAATGCCCATTTTCAGAAGACAGGAAATGTGGTCGACTAGGAATGTGTCTTGCTATGCAACTTTCTTTTTTTCTTCTCCTTATACTTCCACACAGATTATCTTTAAATATCTCAAGAAGATGCATTTTCTACATGTTGTATTATGACATATATATACTCGATGTTAATAGAAGTAATAAAATATTAAAACATATTTTATATGTGCTTGTTGGCATTAACAAGCACTAAAAGAAAAACATAAATAGCCCAAAGTTTTAATTAAAGGTTTTCAGATAGATTTATATGTTGATGGCCGCTGTATAAAAACCCAACTGTATATATATCTCATCCTGGATAACACTAGAACTAAATTTATACCTTTCTCTGTATATATTTATAAGGAAAAATTGACTTCTCTGCTGTTGATTTTGTAATAGTTGAGATAAGTTTTGCTTTTGTATACATGAATATTTTAAGATATTGTTATGCAGTCGTGAACAGAATGATAAAAATAGTTTCGATCTATCTCAGAATTAACTTTAATTTATATATAAGGAATATATATTTTAGAAAAAGAATTTGATAAAGTACTACCTGTTTTAAGGCGAATAGAATAAAGAAAACAAAAAAACTTATTTACATATGTACAAAAGGCTTGAGCTGGCCAACGGGGAACAACAACAATAGGCCTATATAGGAAAAGCGCGACCTCTGGCGGTCGATTTAACAGAGTATTTTATTTTATAAATTTTAGTTTTAAAATGAAAAATAGCATTTTATATAACATATACATAGTTTTGAGATATGTAAATATTAAATATATGCATATAAGGTGGATTTCCCTAAGAGTTGTTTTATTGCATTCTAGTCCTGAAGAAAATCTTTATGGCTTGAAAGTTTTAAATAAAGAAGAGAATTTTTAGAAGTTTAGTTCTAGTTTTTTTTTAATTTGTGTTTTATTTTATCAAAGATACCTTAGGATAACTTTGGTATTAAGAAAATATTTTAGGTAAATTTGCTAATTGCTGGCCCTCTATATTTCCCTATGACACAGGTACTTGGATGTGTTGTTAGTAAATGGTATTCTGGAATGATTACTAAAAAATCCATTAGACTGTGGCGACCACACTTTGCCTCAGCGAGCGCGAACTGGGACCAAGCTTCAATTCACATACGGGCAGTAGTGTGGCGACCTCACTACGCATGCGCGGGCGGCATCCGGTACACTCTGGCCACGCGCATCGTCAACAACAAGGCTTGCTTCCAACGGCCGTTACTTCTTTTCTCTTTATATATTTCTGGCTTTAAATGAATTTATTTTATAAAAAAATAATTATAAATTTATCAGCGGCCTTTTCACAAGCCACACCAATATACACGTAACCATCCCACAAGCTTAATCAAATTCTTTAGTAATCTCTCAATATGCGTCTTATCACCGCATTCATTCCCAACTTTCCCTATCGCTAAGGGTGGGCGGTCGCAGGTCCTGATTCTGGACGAGCCCACGGCAGGACTGGACATCGAGGCCCGTAGATCCTTCTGGGACCTGGTGATGGAGATACGCCAGGGTCGCACCGTGCTGCTCACCACCCACTACATGGAGGAGGCTGATGCCTTATCTGACCGCTTGGCCGTACTGGCTGCTGGGAGAATCTACTGCTGTGGATCTCCGCTTTTCCTCAAGAGAGCCTTTGGTAAGTCCCTTCCTTCTCATAACGCCATCTTCATCAAGAGAGCCTTTGGTAAGTCCCTTCCCTCTCATATCGCCAATCTTCCTCAATAAATCCCTTGGTAAGTCCCTTCCCTCTCATATCTTCAATCTTCATCAAGAAATTTCTCAGTAAGTCCCTTCCCTCTCATATCGTAAAACTTCCTCAAGAAGTCCTTTGGTAGGCCCCTTCCCTCTCATATCGCCAATCTTCATCAAGAAATTCCTCAGTAAGTCCCTTCCCTCTCAAATCGCCAATCTTCCCCAAAAAATCCTTTGGTAAGTCCCTTCCCTCTCATATCGCCAATCTTCCCCAAAAAATCCTTTGGTAAGTCCGTTCCCTCTTATATCGCCAATCTTCATCAAGAAATCCCTTGGTAAGTCCCTTCCCTCTCATATCTCCAATCTTCATCAAGAAATCCCTTGGTAAGTCCCTTCCCTCTCATATCGCTAATCTTCTCCAAAAATCCTTTGGTAAGACCTTCCGTCTCATATCATTCCCGAATCTTCAAGAAATTCTTCAATAATTCTCTTCCCTCTCATATCGCCAATCTTCATCAAGAAATCCTTCAGAAAATCCCCTCGCTCTCATAAAAGAGTCCTAAACATATCTTACCCGTGTTTTTAAAGAGAACTTTCGCAGCATGTCTCCACTATCTTATCAATATACACCTATCCCCCGATTTACACGGTAGATACGTTCCTGAGAAAAACGTGTAAATCGAGGGATAGGTGTATATTAAACTGTCAAATCTGAATAGGTGTTCGCCCCCTCATGAATCAGAGCCTCCCAATATTCTTTTCAACATAGGTAGTATAGAGTAGAATATCGAATTTTAGTATAGTGCGATAAAAACAAAAAAAAAACTTATTTGGAAAACCGTGTAAGAGCGAAAACGTGTAAAACAAGTACCGTGTAAATCGGGGTATAGGTGTAGTTTTTGAAAGGTTTACTCTTCTTTAAGCAATCTTGAAGATAGAGGTTGCCTGACCAGCACATTCATAGTTCTTTAAAATAATCGAAAGTTCATCTAAGATCAAATAGTCTTTAGTTAGTTAAATATTTTGTTTCATATTTGCTTATGACTCGTGATTTTTCGATGTTGTGCAAATTCGAAAGACCGCGCAAGAACGCTCATATACCCTC